TTTGATGTCTAATTTTACTAGAAAAGGTTTAATTAAATCAGCACTTAGAAACCTCGTTTTATTTCAATATTTTCTATAGTATTGTTTTTTAATAGGTTATTTCTCTGTTGTGTTACTGCTGAATCACAGGGAAATTTCTCCCTGAAGACAGAATACATGGAAGAAACAAATGATCATTTGATTCTACTCTCTTTTCTATGAAAGAAAGCCTCAGAATTACTTAAATAATTTGTGCAGGTTTTCCAATGTGATGCAGTCAAACGAGATGCTAAATCTTCCTTCCTCTGTTCAGCACTGGAACCAAAACCAGTTGTGAAAAGGCGTGAAAACCAATGGAAACCCAGTTCAGTGGTCGCTATTTCCAGAGTTCAGAGTGAGAGAGGATGGTGCATTCAGGACAGGTGGACGATCTATCAGGACGACACAGATATAGGCAGTCACGCGCACACACGCACACACACACACACACACACCTACGCACACACACACACACACGTTTGCGTGGCTATCTTTGTGGGGACTTTCCATTTACTTCCATTCATTTCTACAGCCTAAACCTTACCTTTATCATTTTCCTAACCCTAACCATCATATGCCTATCCCTCCCTCTATCCAAAACTCAATTCATACCTTAGCCCTAAATCTGACCCCTGACCCAAAAACAGGGTTTCCCCAGGCTCTGGTCCCCACAAGGAGCAATTGGTCCCCACAACGTAGTATATGTCAGGAAAATCGTCCCCACAAGGTATTACAAACAAACGCACAAACACACATGCACACACTCATACATAACCTTATGACAAATTAGACAATTTAGAGTCTTCCTAATGTGCATGTTTTTCACCTCTGGGAGGAATCCGCAGTAACCGGAGAAAACCAGAGAGAAAATGAATTCTTAAAACAGACAAGGCAGCAGCCAACCTGAGTTTTTAACCTTTCTGTGTCCTGAATTATGCAGAATAAAGCAGAACCAATCTTAGGAGATTTAAACATGAGGTTCATGACATCTTAATTGGATGTTTGTCTTCATTAACCCACCTACAGCCCCTGATTAAAGTGGCACTTTGCTCTGGTATAGCATAGATAGCATTTTCTTTTTCAGTGAAAACAGAAAACATTGGTGCTAAGCAACCGCTGGTCCCAGTTTAGCACTGAACCCGATTTAGTAGAAAAACCTCTAAAGAAGTCATGAAGCACCACATTCGAGGAGTCTTATTTAAAGTTGTCAAAATGTGGAAAGCTTTTGCAGATTAATATATGTACAACACTGATGCCAAAAATGTTGGGATTTTGCAAAATATAAAGAGAGTACAGATCACATAATGCAAAATTTTATTCACAACATAATAAATACTTTAAATGTTGTTGGTGGAGACATCTGAATTTAATAGAAGCAACTTTCAAAAAAGTTAACAGGCTTTAAAATTGGTTTAAAAATGAATAAGGGAAACACAAACAACTGCAGGGGTATTTTGCCACCAACTGGTTTAATTGGCAAAAGGTCAACAAGAGGTCTGTGTTTGAAATGAACATTTCAGTGAGGCGGAGTTTCTCCGATGTGCAGAGGTTCGAGACTGCCTCAACAAAAAATTGGAATGATTTTGTATATCCTATCATCTTAAGTTCATTGTGTCGTCAAAAGATTTCAAGAATCTGGAGAAATGTCTGTGCAGAAAACAGAGCTGGAAGTCAGCAGTGGATGACCTTATCCTTAAAAACAGGTCTGATCCTGTTACAGACATCACCACATGGCCTGGAGCTGCACAAACCGTCATCTGTAAACACAGTGATGTTCAAAAACTGCATCTAAGAGTTATACAATGGGTCCAATCCCAACCTTTTTTCAGCTGGGTTTGCATAGTAATATCAATTTTATTCAGTGTATACTGCGTGTATACACTGAATACACCCTTTCAAAACTGCTGACAATGTTTCTTCGCTTTGATGAAAAATCTCACAATCTTTCACTGCATCGCTGCCACATATCCAACCAAACACAACATGACCACACTCCTCTCCTAAAACACAAACAGCACCAAAGACGAAATGGGCTTGTGACATTGATTGATTTTTACTTTCTTCCAACATGACAAGTTAAAAAATGACCAACATTGGCCGATACTGATGGTACTGCACATATATTATTTATTTCTGATTGAGGCACGACTGCGCCAACGTGTACATGCGATTGTTTTTTTTACAGTTTGAATATTAAGACTTACTTATGAACAAAAGGTTAAGATATTAAACAGGAGTTAGAGCTGATGACCCCATCGCTCTAATGGGGATTGAAAAAATAAATATTCTCATACTTTACTGTCCTGAGAGAAAATGAGTTCACCTTTACGAACAGGTAGAATATTACTGAAATGTTCCTTTACTTCAGTAATTACATTTATTAAGTGAAACAGATTATATGTTATTTAAAAACTTACTGTTGTCGTCAGGCCTTTAAATGCTTATTGTGATCATTTAAAAAAAATTAGTTTTTTAAAAATACTTTATATAGAAATGTGCGTTTCATGAAAAGGATGTTTTTAAAAGGTGCTTTTAATCTGACAAACGAGCCTTACCAGGGCATATTTTGAGTAGGACTCTAAATCAAGGTCAGAGCGAAGACAGAGGACAACCACCTGTCAGGAATAGTAAAATTGTGCAGCACATATAAAAACCAGCATGTTAATTTTCAGGGGCTGTTGTGCCACAAGCTTTTGTTCGCTCTTGCCTTACGTTAATAATCTGCATCGCTGAATAGATTTCGCCCTGTGATAGTAGCGTCTCAAACTGAGGTTTTACCTCTTGGTACACGTTGTGACTAACTCTGTCATTATTGGACTTAATTTCAGGTAATCACACTAACTGGGATTTCATGTTAAAAATAAAAATGGTGTGAAGGCCAAGCATGAGTAACCACTCTTAGTGGAATAACCTAATTTCTTTCATTTTTAAGGCTCTGTTAGTTCTTTTTATTTTAATTCGTATCCAACTAATGAATATTCTTATACCGTTTTTTTATTATTATTATTATTCAAAATCAGTACAAGGGTTTAGATCCACATAAGCGATATATATAAAAAATTCCCTTTTATATGATGGAGAAAAAAAACAGACAGTTTTGAAAATGCTAATTTGTCTTTCACAAAGAGAGCATATAAGTTAAACCAAACTAATGTAAACATTGTTAACACAAATTGGACATAATTTGGATTATTTTTGTCTGTGGTCCTCACTGTGGCATAACAACAAGAAAGTGTGTGCAAGCTTGTGCATCAGCAGACTGGAGGCTGAGTTTAAGAGGGGATTGGAAGCAGAGATATTACAGAAAAAGAGGGATAAGGTTGAGAAACCACAGTGATAACGCTCTCTGTGGGAGAAAATCGATGGGCTCAGTTAGGACCTGGTGAGGGATGGCATTAGATTCTAATGAAAAAGCTGCCTGGTGGTATTCATCGCATCTGCAGTCATATTATTTCATGACCAACTCAGGAGCTCAAATGTATGTGTTTCTAACACCACCTGTTGCTCCACCATAGTTTTGAAAATGACTTAAAGCCAGTTTACAAGTTCTGAAATTATGATCCGTCTCTTGAAAGCTTGGCGTGGTGGACGGTTAAAATTAGACAAGCGTTAAGGTCATAAACATCCTAATTTATCCAATATATTAGGAACGCACAAAGAAAACAACATTAGGACAAAATACAAAAATTCAGAAGCCATGGTGCATTTAGATAATGTATCTATCTGGTAACATAGAAAAGAGAGAAAAGACAATAATCTTTAGAAATAAATCATCATGGCTCCCTTCCTCTCTTCTTTTCTGACTCTGTGTGTTCAGGGGCCAAGAAGGCCTGGAGTCTTTCCCATCAGTCACTGGGTCAGAGCCAAGGTTACATCCTCAGTTCACTAGGTCATAGAAAAACTTGCATAAAAAGTAGATTTTGTCATTTGTTGTCACACAAATCTTCTTGCTTAGAAACACATTCTGGTGTGTCTGACCATGTCTCACTCAGTTATTTAATAGAAACTGTGAAGTCTCACCAGTAAAAATAAAATATCATAATCAAATTTATGCTCCTCACATAGCTAATAAAGCTCTGAGCACCACAGAGAGGCTTTTGTGTTATTTTCTTGTATATAATTTTTACTTTAAAGCACAATTATTTCAAGCTGTTTTGCTTTCTGCGATTCCTCCAATCTGCCATAAGTGCTCTCACGCAGGTCTATTATTTCTCTTCTCTCAAGAGAGGTTTCTGCTGTGCTGTTCTCTCTGCAGACTGAACATCACACGCCGTGGAGGTCACAAATATATTGAATCAGACCTTCATTATCCAGCAGACACCACGGAGCTTCTGACAGACGGCAAACAAAGAACGAAGATGCTGCTTCCAAGTATGGCGGTGATGACATTTGTCATTGTTACGTGGATATTTCATATTTATCAGCCTTGCAACTAGTTTTTTTCCGCCCCTCTTCTCTGGAGGGTTGAAGTTCTTTAAATGTGTCTCTGGGAATAATTAATCATTGGGTGTAGAGATAACCTTGTTTTCACGAACTCCTTCGCCGTGATTCATGTTTCCAAGTATTGCTGGGATTTTTTTTTTTTTTTTTTTCCCAGAACCTGAGCTGTATTATTGGCAGCATTTGAGATCAGGATGATAATCACTGCCGCCATTATTCTGGCTTTAAAGTAGCTTTTCCTTAGCTTTCTATGTGGAGATGATACATTAACCAATGTTTGTGGAGTTGGGAGTATAACAAGTGAATGACATTTGAAAATAAAGACTGCAGGCTTTAAAGGAGAGTCTTGTAACATATTAAAGAAGAAAAACATATTGGGGGAAATTGTTGGATAAAAATGTCAACATTTTTGCTCTTTTAATAAATGTGGGCTAAGCAGGACATCCCAAGCACATGCACATCACATGCAAAGTCTACTTTTTTTTTTTTTTTTGCTTCAGGCTAATTGTTTCTCAGCCCTTCAAAGTTAAAGCCCAGCTGATGCTATGTGATTATCTGATTTGGCCATCACATGTCTTTTTTTTTTTTTAGAGACTACGTTACATCCATCTATCGTCTATTCCTCCTTTTCCTTGCAGGGATGCAGGATGGTTGGTGCCCGTCTCCAGCAGTCGTTGAGTGAGAGGCGAGGTACAACCTGGGCACCACACAGAGACACACAGGACAAAAAAACAATCCATCTACAACATGAAGCAATTTAAATTGTCAGTCAGGCGACAAATATGAATTTTAAAAGTTAAAAGTCGGCCTTTCCTCTGGAAGATGACCACCTAACCAAAGAGCTAGCTCTTTTCAGAACATGAATGTTTAAATGTTTTAAACAATATGTGAGATTCTGTTGTTCCTTCTTCCGTGAGAAACACACTAAATCTCTTTCTCTACAACAACCAAGGTCACTGTGAAGTGTGAATTTCCTGAAAATTTGTATTCGCTGCGTGGTGTAAAATCATGCAGAGGACAGAACAAAGCCGTGGCCAGGTGTGATTTTTAGAGACCTGCACCCAGTGGAACCCGAGGGTTTCAATAGAGACAGGAAAGAGCAACAGAAAACATCAGAAAAATATATTTATACGTATTGCAAAGCGGGATGAAGAGAAAACAAAGCTGTGTATTCGTTCACTGCCTCATTAATGCAACCTTTAATCTTCCATTTTCCCAAGAAACAGCAGGAAAAGGATAACATTATGTCATCTGTGATCATTGAGTCTGAACTGATAGAGAGAACAAATACACCCTTCGTCTAATTTTTAGACTTGATTAAGTTATGCAAAGCTTCTGCAGGGCGACCTTTTAAAGGTGCTTATTGGACCATCATGAAAATATTTCCAGAAGCTGCTTTCAGAAGAAAAGTCTTTTTAATAAAAACGAAAAATCAAAAAGGAATCGCAGCTCATTAGCCGTGTTGCCCAGCTGCTGCAGTCTTTTTTTGGCTCATCTTTATTAATACTACTTATGATTATGGAAGGTGCTGCATTATTATGCATCACATTTAAATAGCTGGGGAGGGAAAAAAAAACTGCAGCTGTGTGGTGAAATATCTCCCCTAAAAGAGAAGAGAACCTATTAGCCAAGGTTTCAAAAGAAACCATTTCTCCCCATTCTGTCTGCTTTATAGGAGCATTTGGTCCCTTGCCTTAAGGTGAAAAACACTAAATCAGATCTAAAGCCAATCCTCTTATCATTCTCCTCAATTTGTTCCAAATGACAAGATGAGGCCAGAGGAGGCAGAACAACCAGAGAGGAGAACTGAAGGAGGAGGTCTGACTGAGGAGCGTTTATATGGAGGGAGCGTTAAAAACATAATGGCCATAATCCTGCTGCTTCTGTCACAAACTTTCTATTTCAGTCCAACTCTAAAATCGATACGTCCAAGCTCTGTTTCATAGCGTGTTATGAATTCAGACATATAATGTAATTTACCAATTATGTCTTTTCAAAAACCGTCACTCAACACAATGTTTTAATCAACTGTTGTGAACTATTTTGGAAATGAACAAGGCTTACAGCTGAGCCTAAAAATGTCATGGTTTGTAGCTGTCAAGAGGATAAAAATGAGGAGATGAGTCACAGAGTCACAGGATGCTGCCAGAGAGCAGGAAGTGAGGAAAAAGTCCAGTGATGAAGAATGACATGCTTAAATACTGAGGAAGAAGTGGAGGATGACTTTGGATGCAGGTGAGGAAACCAGGTGGTTGGACGCAGCTGGGGAGCAAAGTGTCCGACTGTGGGAAGGAAGCAAATTAACATTAAGGTAAGTATTTTTTTTACTCTCTTTAATTAAATGACAAATGACAGCACCAAAAACCTAAAGCTCTCAAATTAGATAATGTGGCTTTTAGAATATTCGATTTAGTGGCAAAATCTTCAGTATGAAATAGTCAAAATATGTAAAAGCTTCTGAGAGTATTCCAGTTTTATTAAGGATTCATTTAGGTAATTCATGAGATTTACATCAAAAATGCCGCAGTAGAATTTGTTTGGCTCTTCATCATTTGTGTACAAGAGAAGAACAAACGTCCTTGATCCAGCTTCATCTGAAAAAGTAAATCATTTAGCTGTACACACAGTCACTTCTTTACACTTGCCAGTTTTTCTGAAGACATTCTTGTTTGGCCCAAGCTGTGTTATTCACAGGCTGTTGCTGGATTAATTAGGTTTTCTCGTATTTGTCTTTCCTCTGATGGCTTTCCCTCCTTTTGGTCAATTTCAGTCTGATGAGGGAGCTTAGCGGAAGAACCGCAAAGAGAGGAAAACAAAAATAGAGCAGTACACAATAACCACTGAAGCCTGGCTGGAACAAACATGCAAACTCATTTGAGTCAGAGTCATTGATTAATTTCGCAAAGCAATTCCCCGAATCTTTCACCGGCGCATCAGAAAAATAAATGTGTATCGAAACACAGGAGAGGCAATGCCGGGCCGCCGAGGGTAATAAAACAATAAAATGAAAATAGAAATTAGACACAGCGAGCTCAGACCGTTGCTATCATCTCAATCGTGTTCAATCCCCAAGTCCAGCTGGAGGTCGGACTCTTATCTGCGCCTCTCACAGCTCTGTGACCAATCAATAGGTTTTAAGCTGCTTTGCTCTCAGCCCAGCTGGAATCTGTGAACGCCCTCATGCCAGGAGATCTGCTCATTTTCCTGCTGAAAGTCATGAAATTCCCCCGGCTTGACGTCAACAAGGTGGAGATTTCTGTCTGCAAGTCGCAATCCAGCTCTACACTCTTAAATGCCGTAGCTGTAAACAAACAAACAAAAAGAAAACATTGTAGATCTCTTAAGCATTTTTAATGTTTTGCTCTATTACAATTTACATGTTTTTATGTTTTAATTTTTGAACAGAAAAAGAAGTAAGTGGCATAAATACAGGAGGAACAGGTGTCCTCTGCCATGTACGTCGGATCAATAAAGCTCTTCTCCGTTGTAATCTTTCCTCGCCCAGCGATTATTATCCTCTGCAAAAGGCTCAAGCTGCAGAGCATTAAAGAGAAAGTGCTCCGTCCTGTGAAGTTACCGTGACATGTACACTTAAAGAACATCCACAAAGCAGAGACCATAATTTACTCCTACTGTCTGGAGCTGCAAATAACACAGAGGAGGGAATTTTCTTCCAGCCTTTTGATGGGTGCCCACTGCGTGGCAAGAAAAGAGCTGTTGTTTAAAAAAAAAAAAAACTTTAGTAAAAACCTAGAGTAGTGGGTTGTCATCGTAGCAAATAGAGCAAAGCTCTGACAGAGACTACGATGGTGGATAGATGCTAGAATGGTATTTCTAGGTTTTTACTCTTGCAATGTCCTGAGAAGCAAAGGAACCGTAGATCCAGCAGCACCACCATACGAGGCATAAATCAAATTTTAAACGTCTAAGCTTCGCTGCTCCTTACCGTACAATCTCTGACGTCATTTAGACATGAAGAACTTCAGCCTGAGTGAAATCATGCAGCATTTAGAAGATCTTTCTGAAACAAAACCCTCTGATGCCTCTGATGAATGTTTAGATTTGTGAAGATGATGCAACTGCAGCAAGACATGACCGCCTGATGGACAGTTTGTTTTGCACGAGGCGTTGGTCACACACAAATACTGGAAAATGTTTGAGGTCACATTACATAATAGTGTCTCATTATCGTGTTTTAGACCAGGCGTCTGCAACATTTACCATTCAAAGAGCCATTTTTCCCTCCAGTCCAGCTAAATAAAAGTCATTTAGAGCCACAAGAGTTACAAGACATTTTTTTTAATTATTGTTTAAAATATGTCAAATTTCCTATCTCCTATAGGAAATTTGTTTTTAAAGAATCTTCATTTTATTTCTATTTTGAACAAACATTTTGGCAAAAAGAGATGGATGCAACTATTTCATGGGATTTTAATACTGGCAAAAGATGAGCACATTGTTTTCAAACTAATGACAAGGTAATTAGATTTAAGAATGTTATTGGTACAATTAAACTGTAAAAACTGTAAAATTGCTAAAAGCGGAATTTGTTTTTATATCTATTTTTATAAGGATTTTTTTTGTTTTTTTTGTTTATCTTCTTCAGTTAAAGTTATTAAGAGCCGTTGTGGAAGATCCACAGAGCCACTTGTGGCTCCAGAGTCGCAGGTTGCAGACAAAGGCGGGGAAATGAAACTATTTTTTTGAGGTCTGAAAAAAGTCTGAATATGAATCCAAAACCAGGTGATGCCCAACGCAAAATGAAAAGAGAATGGAGTTGTGGAAGTGAAACAATGTGTTTGATATTCATTCCCATCACAAGCCTGTTTATTTCCAATCTGGGACTCGACAACACAGTGAGCAGCTCCTTTGTCAACAAAGCCACTTGTTGTTTTCAGAGCGCCACCACTCCAATTTAGCTCAGTGCACACAGACACATTATTAATGGCATTTTATCAATTTTCAACCTGTCTTAATAATTGATCTACTGTAGATTAGCAGTAGATCAATTTCCTTATAAGCATTTGGCCCTGTGGAGCGTCACACATCGTGTGTGTAAAGCATTGAACTTTAATCCTCAGACAGTCAGAGGAACATTAAATATTGAGCAACCTCCTAAGTATACCTACAAATTCATAAAACGTGATGGCAGCTCTGCTTCAGTAAAGAAACGCAGCAGGAGTGGATTATTCAAACTATGAAAACCAACAACATGTCAACAATTAAGTTGTTGTTTTGCTACAATGACGTCGACCTCTTCCCTGCTATGTCTTTCACTATAAAACAACGTGAATAAAAACATGCAGGCGGTAAAACAAAAACAAAAAATGGCTGGTGAAGGTTTGAGCTGCTTTATTCAGCCTTTGTTTCTTTGTCATGTCGGGTGATATAAACAAATGCAAACAATTATCAACACTAAAGACTTTATTTTTCTTCTTTTGAGTGTTTCGTGTCAGCCCACACTTGATTTCAGAACAAAAACTGATTTTTTATATATATATATATATATATATATATATATATATATATATATATATATATATATATATATATATATATATATATTGGACATACTCTAAAAGATGCATTCAGCAGCGCTTCCTCCATTAGAGTCTTTGTTGGAGTAATCATGCTCACAATATCAGTTTCTCAATATTTCAGTTTCTCAAAAGGAAAAGAGAAACCAAAGCTAAATGTGAACTAATAAGAAAGAAACAATTCAGCTGGATTCAAGTAGATCATTACCAGCAGAATATTATTTCTGTCAATCAGTTTTTGCATTTCTCAGCCTCCGAGGCCCGGTGAGGACCCCGGTGAACTCCGGTGTTATTTTGGTTCTGGCAGCAGGAAATCATTAAACTAATGATCCGAGTGTGTGTTTTGATGGTGCATATTTAGTTAGTGACGTCCGAGTGTTTGGAGAATGATTCATGTTTGTGTCTCTAATATTCCAGCTTCTTTGTCCGGTTTCGATACAACACGACACATCCGTGAGAACATCACTGACTTGCACCGCCCCACCAAACCAGACAGCAAACATTGGACACTAAATAAATACATTCTACTGCGTACTCTCACTACTTTGGAATAGGGGAACTGGTTTTGCACAAGTTTGTATCTTTTCTGCGCCCAGCAACTGTGACAATGTTTCAACACTGCAGCCGATGGCAGACTAAACTTTTTACATTTAGGCACAACATTATTCCCGGTGTGGGAATTCCATTTTGTTACTGCAAACTAAATATTTCCGCATTACGTGGAGCTTTAGCAGTATTTCCAAAGACAATGTCTACCTTGTGTGTCTTACAGGTTGCCTTAAAATGCAAAACAAACACAAGATTCAGTCACAGTACTGTATTTGGGCAGCAAATTCCCAACATGGCAACAATTATCCTGCGAGATTTATTTTGCTTTTCAAGACTTTCCATTTACAAAATGCCTTTAATTGGACCTGCTTTTAAGATTAAACCTTTCTTTGCATCTTCAGGCAGAATGAGAAACACAGCGATCCTCTCAGCCGGGAGCACAGACTGTCTTAATATTCACCCTCTGGAGTTTCCATGAACACCCTCTCTGCAGGAGCTTTCGTGTCAATTTGGAAACCCTCCTTTACTTGCTCATTAGAAGAGGTGGCAGGCAGAATAAGCAGCGCCGGTCTGACATTTCCTGCAACACAAAGTCATTAATAAGGTAATAATGAGAAAATATTAAACTAGAAAACTCTCAAGATCTTTGATTCTCGCGTCCTTCTGCGCGTGTAGTGATTTTTTTTTACTAGGTATAAATCGCAGTAGGAAAGCTGGAATGATTTTTAAACGCTGACTACAAACACCAACTCACCTTCTGTTGCTTTGGACGTCGCTACAGAAAACAGTGAATTTGAGAAGGTTCTGGAAAGCCTACGTTGATTGAAATTACATAGTTAACAATGATTATAGTGCACGACTTATTAGTAGAAGAAAAATACTTATCTATTTATAAGTATTCATATCCATATACGCTTCTCTTCATACTTTCAGTCATAGATTGCTTTTCAAAAACGAGGGAAATTGGTGTAACACTTTATTTGAACATAAAACTGACATAATACTGTCATAAACATTGACAGCTCTGAACATAAAGGAGTGTTTATGAATGTCTGACTGTTGTCATGAAGTGTGATTC